GTCAAATCTCTTCGTGGCGAAATCTGACGCGCATTTCTTCGTAGAATTTCCCTTATTTTCTGAAAAATAAATTAGCATCCTTTCGGCCGAACGAAAATAAAAATTACGCCTCATGATCTTTGCTATTATATTTCGGACTGTATTTTTTTTTTGCGAGCGCAAACCGAAAATTTTAATTTATATTTTCGTCTTTTTTTGCTACTGATGATCTTTTTGCTGAATTGTCAACTTCATTGAAGTTCTTCCAAGAATTTCTAGAAGTAAAACTTCGACTTCAAAAGCGGTACGATTTTCCAGCCGAAACTTTCTCATACCTCTGAAAAGGAATTCCTTTGTGTCACCATGAAATATTTGTCTAAAATTCGTCTTTCTTTGTTGATTTTGTCATGTTCTGTTTTTTTTTTTTGGTACAGTACTTGTAAATGCGAGTTGTTTGAATGCACTGGAATTTCACTCACAATGAAGGATCGTTTAACTGGATTCTCCCGGACTTTCTTATTTTGATCGTGAGACAATTGAAACTATGATTTCATCGAAGTTTTTGAGAAGTATACGAGGGTTGCTCAAAAAAATTGACAGTAACTTTGAGATTGAGTTTTGTTTTCTATGCCCAAATTCCCCAGTGGAAATCCTACAAAATAATTTGGCCGTTAAATTCTTGAACATTTTCTTTAGTCAAAACCTCTGAGTTTTTGATTGATTTTGGACACTTAAGGTCAACATTCACATTCAAGGGCAGTAACACAAATATCCTAGTGCTGTTTTTAGGGACAATTTTCTGTCTGACTTTTGGAATTCGAGCGGGGGGAAAGGTTTATATCATGTGAAGCTTTTTGGAAGCGCCTATTATTTTTTAAGTGTGGAAGGTAGATTTTTTTTCGTTATACATTAATGAGGTGCACTTTCGACTCTCCCAGTCATCTACATTTCAGCATGCATGAGTGAAAAAATCTGAAAAAATCTGAAAAATTTGCCAAGAAATTAAGTTGATATTCTGTGAAAAAAACATCCGTCTTCATTCAATCAGCAAGTGATGCACAAGACTGAGAAAAACGCAATGAATCAACCCACATTTGAATTTGAATTTATTTGCAGCGGGGCAATTAATTTCCAAATGATTTTTCATAGTTCCCAGAAAAAAAAAGTTTTCGAGAAGGAAGCTCGTGTAAAATTCGCGGTTGAGATTTCACCGAAAAGAACATTAAATCCAAAACAGGGAGTGAAAGAATTTGCGCGTGAATGATCGGAATTGACGTGTTTCAACGTGTCAAGGCTGCTTTTGAAACGGAATTTAGAACGGGTGCTGTGATTATTAATCCCTTCGTTTTCAGCAGAAAAATTGGTACTGTTTTAACGACCTACCAGGGGCTTTCAGAAAGTCCTACTCCAATTTTAAAACTTTTGAGAAAAAAAATTCGTATAAAAATTAAGGCGGCAATTTTCTTTTTATTTCTTGCCAGCATGGATTGGCATCGTGTGAGTGTAACTACGATTTTTTTTGGCAATATTTAAATTTCGAAGGGGTTGGGAGAAAACGCCGGGGTGGAGAAAATGTCGGGAAAAGAATTTCGACTCTTATGAAAATACCTTGAACGAAATTAAAGTCATTGAAGGCATGGTAACATTTTTTTTTTTAATCTTCTGGTTTTGAAATTCTGAGTATGGTAAAGGATGCAGCGTATTTATAAGAGCTCAACTCTTTTCGTCTGTGGGATTTTCTTTTGATTTTCAACTTTTGGCATTCGCAATTTTTCATCATCAAATTTAACCCCCTAATTGTTCTGCATTGTTTCTTCGTTGTCGTCGCATTTTCCGGCTTTTCTGCGCGTCATCATCTTTCTAAAGAATTTTTTCTCGGCGTATTTTCTGTGACAAATTTATCTCCTTGTGAAAGTTTCTTTGCGTTCTTTCGAGAAACGTCGTGGAGAAGTCAAACTTGGGTAAACTCGTGTGAAAGATTTTGAAAGAATGGAAAATCATGATTTCTATTTTGCAATTCGGGGGAAAAGCGTTTCATGAAAATCCCTTCGTGGATGGATTCGAATTTTATTTATTTATTTTATTTTGTGCGCGGAATTTTTCTTCGAAATGCGACGTCGACGTCGAGTTTCCTCGTTATATATTATTCATCCGAATTTCGATGAAGTTCGTCGCTTGACGTCATTGCGGACTTATTCGGAACCATCGTTTTCAGCAGAAAAATTGGTACTGTTTTAACGACCTACCAGGGGCTTTCAGAAAGTCCTACTCCAATTTTAAAACTTTTGAGAAAAAAAATTCGTATAAAAATTAAGGCGGCAATTTTCTTTTTCTTTCTTGCCAGGATGGATTGGCATCGTGTGAGTGTAACTACGATTTTTTTTTTGGCAAGATTTAAATTTCGAAGGGGTTGGGAGAAAACGCCGGGGTGGAGAAAATGTCGGGAAAAGAATTTCGACTCTTATGAAAATACCTTGAACGAAATTCGAGTCATTGAAGGCATGGTAAAGAAAATTTTTTCATGTTCTGGTTTTGAAATTCTAAGTGTTAAAGGATGCAGCGTATTTATAACAGCTCAAGTTTATTCGTCTCCGGGATTTTCTTTTGATATTCAACTTTTGGCATTCGCAATTTTTCATCATCTAAATGTAACCCCTTAATTTTTCTGCTGTGTTTCTTCGTTGTCATCGCATTTTCCGGCTTTTCTGCGCGTCATCTTTCTAAATGAATTTTTTCTTCGCGTATTTTCCGTGAAAATTTTCTTTTTTTATGTTTCTTGGCGTTCTTTCGAGAAACGTCGTGGAGAAAGCAAAACTTGGATAAACTCGTGTGAAAGATTTTGAAAGAATGGAAAATCATGATTTTTATTTTGCAATTCGGGAGAAAAGCGTTTCATGAAAATCCCTTCGTGGATGGATTCGAATTTTATTTATTCTAAAATAAAACACGCGCCTTAAAAAGAAGCTTTACGCTGCAGCTGCAGCTCAAAGGAGCAATATATAATAAGTAGGCTTAAAGCTACTTCAAGCAGCGAACTGCAGTAACGCCTGAATAAGCCTTGGCGGAGGGTGAGAAAACAAGAGAAGAAATCCTGCCGTCGATTCTTTCCGGGTATTGTTTTATTTTTTTAATTCTTCTTCTGTACTATCAATGTTATCCGTCCACTCGAAAAGGTGATCTTTGCATTATTCTCTGACGCTGTCTTCCTTTTTTTTCTCTCTCTTCCTTTGAATTATGAGCAAACACCGGAAAGTGAGTTGATTCGCGAATTATTGTTTCGCATTCAGTTTCCTTGGAAAAATGATAATCATTCCCTCTTGTGATCGGAGAATATATGGTGTTATTTTTGTCAGCTCTGGATGCTGTTCTTTTTCATTCATATACGTGTGTGGGCTTTTCATTTTTATTTTATTAAAAATGTTCCTGCGAAGACATCAGCGCAAGGAAGCTTCCTTGGTACGAAAACGTGGTCGTGAGTTCAACTTACTCAACTACAGCTTACGCTAAAGGAAGTGAAAGAAATAAGTTATGGAAGAAACTGCACTTCGGTTTTTTTTATTTTTGCTTTCATTGTCACTTGTCATTAATTTCTTTCAAAATAAGAATGTTATGCTTTGCTTTCCTGGTTTCTGAGGATTTTCGCAAGCACTTCATTACTCGTTAAAAATGTATTTATGAGGAAATTTATGTGAGAATTCATTCAAGTATCTGGTTCACTGTACTTCCGTGAAAGACTCACAAAATAAATAGGGGAACTTTTTAGGAGATATGTCTTTTTAGCTATGTGCATACACCAGTAAGGGGCCCTTCATCAGCAGCATTAATTGCTTTTCAGACTATGTAAATACGTTGGAATGTTTTCTGCATCTTGGATCACATATTTCGTAAAGGTTTCAATGGGAGAAATGTTTGATCACCTTTTCAGCATGTTTGAAAAATTTTGGAAAATACCCTATAAAAATCCTATAGCGACGTTTTTTTCAACTTTGAGACACAGAAAAAAATTGTGGAGAAGAAACCCAGAGAATCTGCCTTTCTGGCATGAAAAGGAGTCAAAAATTCTTAAAAAAAGAAGCACATGTATTGCTATATTGTATGTACCTTGGAGAGTTGATGGACAAAACCCATAGGGGAGGAGTACAAAATTAGCCTGTTTTGGAAACTGAATGAGACTGCATTTCTAATGAGATTTATTTTGACTTCATGCCTTTGTAAATGCAGTAGCTCAATGTGCCCAAGGAATATCAAAATTTTTGCTCTATACAACGTTTACAACAATTTTCTGTGCATAACAAATTTTTATTTTGTCCCATAGGGTTCTCCCCCATGTTGTACAGCATGTTCTCTAAAAGGAAATTCTCTGTGCAAACAATTTTTTCTGGTCCTGGAATATGGTTGTCCATCTGTACTAAGTTGAACCTAGATGAATCAAACCTCCCAAAGTCAAATACCTCCCCATGTCAACTTGTTTCAAGTCCTATTCTGAATTCATTAAAAATCTCCCTAACTCAAATCTACTGGGGGTCTTTTAGCCACACTTTTTTTGTCATAGGAAAGTGAAAGCAAAAAAAAAGAATAGAACTACACCAAACTTCACGTTCTTATTCATACACCTGTTTAGGAACGGTGGTTCAAGTCGTAGGACAGTTGAGTGAACTTTTAGTTAAATTTCAGATATCTGATAGTGATTAATATTAAAGGAGTAATATTTTTCTCTTCAAAAGATGCTTGTTTTTGTAAGTCAAAGCCTCCACAACTCCTTTTTTCTGGTCTGTTGAAATTTGACTTGAAGAGGTTTGGCTGTATAGTTTATGCACAGTAATTGAAAATTTTGCCAAAATGTTTCTCAAAACATTGTCCAGATGTTGTAGCACATTTTTTGAGGGCTTCAATTGTCCATGACAAGTCAAATTTTGGACAATGAACTCACCATTCCCCCCACTAAAGATATAATTTTTTCCAATGCTCCTTTCCTCTTTTCCACAAAACCACAAAAAAACTAGAAGAAAAAACTCAGAAAATAGACTGCATATATAGATATATTCTCATTTACTGGAAGTACTTGGCCGTAACAAAAGGCATTTTCGCGATGTGACCAGGAAACTCGTCTTTGCGTACGCGAACGTTGATTTTGGTGCCAGCTTTGACAAACTGCGGCTGAACATAGCCCATGCCGATGTTGTAGCCCAAAGTTGGAGACGGGCATCCGCTTGTGACGCGGCCCACGATTTGGCCGTCCACGATTATCTCAGCACCTGCTCGAAATGGACGACCAGTCTGTGTGATGAGTCCAACACGACGCCGCATCAGACCTTGTTTGTTGAGATGCGCGGAAATGGCTTCGGCTCCTGGAAAGTCCAGGGCTTTCCGACGCCGTTTTCCGATCGTCCAAGCTTGAAAAATAATTCGTAAATCAAGTTTCTGTAAAGGATTTTGTTTCTAGAATTCAGAGAAAGTCTTGAAAAAAAAAATCGCATCGAATTTTTTTTGCTTCTTTCGTCTTCTTACTTCTTGTCCCTAGACTCCGATTAAAAAATTATCGGGACCCGGACTATTAACGGTTCGGATTAGTTCGGGGTATTTTGTCTAGTAAACGTTTTTATTAGTTTACCTTTGCATTTGATGGCAAACTATTTTGCATTCTCATTCCTTTCAGAAAATCAAAAAATGCTGTCACTCTGTCAAGTATTGGAAACCCTTGCAATTTATCAAGAATCAAATTATTCATGACTTTTTAAATCGCTATGTTGTGCTGCAAAAGCGTCCTTTTTATAGTTATCAATTACTGCTTCTGCAACACCAATTCACTAAGATATGTTCACTAAGAATTATCAACTTATTGTGTGAAACAATACTTCTAACATTAAAACGTTATTTTGGCTCAGAAAAACCTTTCTACAGGTGGTACCTTGCAATTCAACCTCCCACAGTTTGATGGTCAAATTTGCTGGGAGGTCAACTCTCAATTTGACCTCTGACTTGCAATTTGACCTCTGGAGAAACATGAAACATCAAATGCCATGTAGAAAACATGCCATTTGACATTGTCTTGCAATTCAACCACTTTGCAATTTGACCCTACTATAGCAATGGATTAGGGTCAAATTGCAATTACTATAGCAATGGAATAGGGTCAAATTGCAAGGTAGCGCAAGTACAATAGCCCTTCAATTGGGTGGTAGAAAATATAATGCAGCTAAATTGTAGACTTTCACTGGAAACATGTATTGTACTTTTTTTAATAATGTCAATTCACAAAGCAGGATTTAGTATGTTTGACAGCAGTGCCAGAATATCAAGATTGGACTAGCGATTGGAAATTTTGACCACTTTTTTGAACATGCTCACACAATTCCTGTTTTGTGGACATGTTAGAGCAAAGTATGTACAAACAACTTTACTCTGCCAACAATTTCATCCAAAGGAATATGCTCTGCAGACAATTTATCCTAATAATTGAATCAGACAGGATACTTGTGCAGACATGTTTGGACAAGTTCAGGGTCAAATGGACAAAATTGGGATACATTGTGGACATGTTATACAAACAATTTGTTTTTCCATACAGTACTTTTGAACATGTTTCATGTGCAATTTAGGTAAATTTTGGACATGTTGGATCTGAAATTTGGGTGAATTTTGGACATTTTTTGCATGGACAATTTCAGGGTCCCATTGGAAAATATTTGCATAACCTTGGACATGCTAGATAGGCAATGTGGAAATTAAGTGGACAACTTTTTTTATCATGGGATCCTGGTTGGAAAGAGAGGATGAGTGCTGACATGAACCACATTACTTCAAATGGAAAATCACATTACCCAAAGATGCTTCCACTGGGGTAGTGCCTTCATTGATATCAGAGCCATACAGACAAAGTCCTGCTTCTATTCTCAAGGTGTCCCTGGCTCCAAGTCCTGCAAGTCTCACCGAGCCCTTGGACGTGGTTAAAAGTGTTTCTGCCAGGGCTTGAGTGTTCCGCAAGGGTACTGAAATCTCAACTCCATCCTCGCCAGTGTAACCGCACCTGGTCACTCTGCAGTTCTGGATCCCTGCCACAGTGCATTCCGTGGTCCGCATGAATTTCAAGGATGTCATATCTATTTCCACCAGTGCTTGCATCACCTTTTGGAAATTTAATAAGAACTTTACTCCTGAAATATGTTAGAAAGTTTAAATGTATTGGCTGATGATCCAATATCTTGAGTAATGAAAAATCAAAGATATACTGGATGAGCTCCAAAAAGTAGTAAGCCCTAGTCAATTACAGTTGGACACCAACATATGGATGCCACAGTATTTGGACAATTGGACTTTGAGACACTTAAAAATGAAATATCTGCCCCAAAATCCAGATAATGTTTAAACTATGGACACTTTTCATACATTTCTTTAAAGAAATTGAAAAATTCTTGTCTCAAGAACAAATTTATATTTATATTTGCACAGATTAAAAAAAATCACTTTTACAACAACATTGAGACCCCAACATATGAACACCCTGACAATTGGAAAATTCAAATTAGGGATACTGTAAAATGAAGAAATCTGTTCAAATATCCAGACAGTGATTCAAGATATGGACTTTTTTCCAAGATTTCCAAAAAATGTTTACATTTTTATTCTTCCATTATATTTCTTGAATAAATTGAGCTATTTACATTGAAAAATACTAAAAATATATTTCATTGTAAAATAGCCCTAAATCATGATCAAAAACAGGCTTATTTTGTCAATCTTTTTTCAGAGTTTTGTCCATCATGTGTGCACAGTAAAGCAGACTTATTCTTTTTCTTTGCTTCATGAGCTCCTTATGATGCCAAAAGATCATAATCTGCCTGTTTTTCTGCTGCATAGTTATTTTTTGTACCTTGCTGTAGCTCAGGAAAAACATGTATTTAATTTTTTATGCCTTCCTAATTTTTGATGAACAGGAAAACCAAGTAACAATGTTGAAGTCTATGGAAAAATGTGATTCAGCAATCAGCATGCAGACACTCCAACATGAGGACAAGGTCCAAGCATAAATTACATTTCCATCTGTTGTCCCCACTTTATTTTCAAAATACTGTAAGCCTCAGCTTCCTCCTCTTAATGCTTCCTTGACAGAGCGCTAGTTTTGTGAAAATGTTCATCCAAAGAAGTTAAAAACATATTTATACCGTTATGAAAAACACAAGATCCAAGTCTGGAAATTAAATAATTGTTGGTCTTATTTTTCAGGCAGCTTTTGGAGGAACCAAAACAAAGCAGCATTTTATTTTCAGCCTTCAGACATCAATTCAAATAAATTGAAGACAATGCAAGCACTTTAGAAAGCTGTTTCAACACCTACCTTTGTACTGATTAATCCTCTTAAAAGGGGGTCATCTGCTTCACAAATGAGCTTTATAATCTCTTCAAAGGATGCTCATGTCTTAAATGCATGACTAAATCGTCTAGGATTACAGCACACATGAGTCCAACTCGTCCTGATGTAACGTAATTTTGAAGAATGAGGTATTTAGTACGAATTAAAAAAAAAACAGATTTGAAAATTGAAATATCTCGCTCACTTGAGAAGATTCTGGGCCTTGCAGAGCGACGAGGCCAAAGGACGAGTCGAGCTGTTCGATGTTCACATCCTTGGAATCTTTCTTGAACTCTTCCAATTGCTGGTTCATGAGCTTTAAATCGCTGTCACGTCTCCCAGCATTGGAGACTACNTGCAGCTCCTTCAAGTCGCCGACAGTCAGTGACTCCAAGAAATCCGCTGCATGTTTCCCTGTCACCACTTGCTGCAACATGTGTGACACGTCGAACAGAGAACAATGTTCCCTGGTGTGTCGATGGGATTCAGCAATCCCCACGCTTCCGTATTGCAGAGGCATCAAATAACCCGCAAAGTTCACCATTTTCCCGCCGTTCTTCACGTGGAAATCGTAGAGACACGTTTTCGAAGGACTGCAGTCCGAAGCGTGTCGTTTTCCTGATGAAGCCCCTCCGAACAAGGCCTGGTTTCTCGTCAACAACCTGCTCCATTTGAAAAGTATCTTTGACATGGCACTAAACACTGGTGAAGGTCTGGGAAATGCACTGGAACCTGGTGAGACATTTCAAAAAAGATTAATCGATACCTTTAAAAAGGAGTAACGAGTACAAGAATAGTTGCGCTTGTCGTCTGAAAGTACCGTGCTGTTCTTTATTGGCGTAAAATAACTGCAGCAAAAATCTTGGCTTCAACGTTCAAAGTAAGGTGCTTTGGCACTCGATACATTTTGCTAAATTCGTTGTCATTGCAGATTTGGAGTAGTTCAAATGTTCAAGTTCAAGATATCCTGGCTCACTAATGGTATTAAAATGCAATCGAGCCTCAATAGTAATAAGTCGAATTTCAAGGGACAACACAAAAAATCGACTTGAGAGGTTTTGACTTGGGAAGTTTTTCAGTTAGGGAAAACAAACATTTTTTTTTGTGGAAAACGTAGAAGAATTGCCGGAAATTATGTAGATATTCTGGGCCTTGAATCCCATTTTAAATGAGTTATTGACAGAAAGCTGAACTTGGATACAAGGGTTCATATTTAAAGAATATTATATTACAAATGTTGATTACTTTAACGCGTACATCATCAGATTATTCAGAGCAATCTTGTCTGGTTCAATACAGTTCCTTACAAAGTTAATCCAACAGTAGCTCAGATTACTTTCAAGATGATATCGTAACTTAACCGCTCAGGTTTCATTAAAAGGTATTTATCATTAATTCCGATTATTAATTTTTTTATCGATTCTGAAACAAAGAATGCTGTGACCGCCAAAAATAAACTCAAGAAACCCGTTGTTCATATATATCGCTTCAAAGAAAAATAAAATCTGCTGCCCTTCGAACAGCTTTTGATTCTCGAAAAAATCTTACGTGAAAAGTTTTCGAGATAATGAACAAATCCTTAGAACTTGGAGGGATAAAAGCGCCTCGTTCCCATGCAGCGATAACGATTTTTATTCTTTATTTTATTTTTGGTGCCCCAAAGATCAATGGAGTGAGCACAATCAGCATGAATCATCGTTTTCTGCTGTACTTCGTTTCATCATGAGCTTCAGAGAAAAAATAAAGTTTTCGAAAACTTGTTTGTCCTTCAGACATGCATGGAAGCGAAATTTTGCTGTGCTTGAAAATTTGCCAATTCGCGGATTAATAAATCTTCCGAGAAGAACTTTCTTTTTGCTTTTACAGGGAAATAAAACTATCATCAAATACTGTATTGTGTAAGACCCCAGCAATTTTAAGAATATTTTCTCTTTTACTTTAAAGGCAGAGATAAAAAATGTTCCTGTAGATGATACTCCCCTTATATTTAAAGCTCATTTTTGGAAATGAACAGTCAATTGAATTCTACCCTGGCTTCAAACTACAGGTTGACTCTTTCTGTACAAGGATTTTATCTGTGTAATGAATTTATTTTTGTCCCAAAGGATTCTCTCATATTGTTATATGTCATGGTTCCCCAAACCTTTTTGGACTGGCAAATTTCCCAAATTTTTTTGCAGGCCAGCAAAGTTTTATAAAATATTTGCAGACTCTAAAAAGTTATTGTTGAAAGACTTTATGGCAGGTTTAAAAAAATAAAGCAGCTTTAGCGGAATGTCTTTCAAAAATTAAAAATGTGGGCTTGAAGAAAGGTTTCTCAGAATAAAAAAAAATCAAATAATTCATTTCAGCAGGTGAAAATTTGCCTGAAGCATTATCAAGAGAAAAGCCTAATTTTATTTTTTGTCAGATAATACCAAATGCCATTGTCTTTCCAAAACTTCAGAAAAAAAGATAACTGACTTCATTGCTAATTTTGATACGTTTATTATGCTGAAGAAAATTTTCCCTGGACCAGGGGAAAAACTTCTCCAGACCATGGGTTGGGGAAACACTGTTATAAGGGGTTCCCTCCCTGAAATTCAATTTCTGATTTTTGTGGTAACCTAAATTTCGTTGTGGGGAGTCCACCTGGTCCCAAGTACACTATTTCCCAAACAAAATTTGGATTTTTCCCTTCAATGGGGCCCGACAACTGGAAATGGCAGTCACGATATGTTTATCGAATATCAGACAAATATTAATANTGCAGCGATAACGATTTTTATTCTTTATTTTATTTTTGGTGCCCCAAAGATCAATGGAGTGAGCACAATCAGCATGAATCATCGTTTTCTGCTGTACTTCGTTTCATCATGAGCTTCAGAGAAAAAATAAAGTTTTCGAAAACTTGTTTGTCCTTCAGACATGCATGGAAGCGAAATTTTGCTGTGCTTGAAAATTTGCCAATTCGCGGATTAATAAATCTTCCGAGAAGAACTTTCTTTTTGCTTTTACAGGGAAATAAAACTATCATCAAATACTGTATTGTGTAAGACCCCAGCAATTTTAAGAATATTTTCTCTTTTACTTTAAAGGCAGAGATAAAAAATGTTCCTGTAGATGATACTCCCCTTATATTTAAAGCTCATTTTTGGAAATGAACAGTCAATTGAATTCTACCCTGGCTTCAAACTACAGGTTGACTCTTTCTGTACAAGGATTTTATCTGTGTAATGAATTTATTTTTGTCCCAAAGGATTCTCTCATATTGTTATATGTCATGGTTCCCCAAACCTTTTTGGACTGGCAAATTTCCCAAATTTTTTTGCAGGCCAGCAAAGTTTTATAAAATATTTGCAGACTCTAAAAAGTTATTGTTGAAAGACTTTATGGCAGGTTTAAAAAAATAAAGCAGCTTTAGCGGAATGTCTTTCAAAAATTAAAAATGTGGGCTTGAAGAAAGGTTTCTCAGAATAAAAAAAAATCAAATAATTCATTTCAGCAGGTGAAAATTTGCCTGAAGCATTATCAAGAGAAAAGCCTAATTTTATTTTTTGTCAGATAATACCAAATGCCATTGTCTTTCCAAAACTTCAGAAAAAAAGATAACTGACTTCATTGCTAATTTTGATACGTTTATTATGCTGAAGAAAATTTTCCCTGGACCAGGGGAAAAACTTCTCCAGACCATGGGTTGGGGAAACACTGTTATAAGGGGTTCCCTCCCTGAAATTCAATTTCTGATTTTTGTGGTAACCTAAATTTCGTTGTGGGGAGTCCACCTGGTCCCAAGTACACTATTTCCCAAACAAAATTTGGATTTTTCCCTTCAATGGGGCCCGACAACTGGAAATGGCAGTCACGATATGTTTATCGAATATCAGACAAATATTAATAAATAATAGATCGATAATAATAGATTAATAATAACAGTTCAGAAGAAGTCACTCACGTCACCGGCAAATACTTCATGCGATCACATTAATTAGCGGATGCTGTGGAATTTAAGGTGCACACAAAATTATTCAAAACGTATCTTTCACTTCATTAAATTCGGTATTTAGAAATACTGAAGAAAGGGGTTTAAGGGAGTAAACATAGCCGAATGAGTCAGGGCTCAAATTCCAAAGTCGGGGTTTCTTTTAGTTCGTTGTATGATGACGATTGCATACTTTTACACACATACACACACACACACACCGGCAGGTCTATACAGTTTTTTTTTCGGGGAACAACTCGAGTGAGTACCGACACTTGTGCCCATGCCATGTGTGTCTGTGTATGTGTGGGCGTTCTTTTTCTGAATCACTGTACATCGTCCCATTTCCACTAATTCACGTCACATGGGTATTCGTGTAGATCAAGACACACAAAAAGGTTCGGGTTTGAAGGCGGAAAAAAACCGAGAACCCGAGAATTTCTTTCAGTTGGTGGAGCGCGTCGACCTCGAACGGACGCGGGAGTCGAGAGTGAATTTCCTGTTTCCTTTTCCATCAGATATGCGTCGACTGGTCGCATAAATATGTTGTGTTTTTTCTTCCGTCTGGGGCATATAGTAAAATTCGTGGGACACTACGAGTGTTTTCTGGGTTTCCTGGACCAGTGTTCATGAAAAATCTCGGGAATTCATCATGCTAAATTATTATTTTTTTTAGAAAAAAGCTAACGCTGCGCAATGTGCCAATTTTACGCAACGTATTTACATCTGAAGTGTTGGCTTTCGAATAATGTGGTGCAACTAAAATTAGTTTTGAAATAATTTTTCTTGCATTCAATGGAGACTAACCTATGGACGATAAGTACACTTTATTCTTTTTCAAGGATGAGAAATACAGTGAGACCCCCACATGCGGACAATTCAACATAGGGACACTTATTCTCTAAAAAAAAAGTTATAAAAAAGGCCCAACATGAGGACACTGACTCGACATAGGGACATTTTATGATAAAATTGCAAATAAATTTCAGGCCAAATTACAAGAAACAGATATTTCCAACCCTAAAATTGATGTAAGAAAAGTTCTTTGGCATTTCTCTTACCAATTTACCATCCATTTAGCTAATTTTAGAAAATTATGGAAAATTTTAGAAAATTCTGAAGAATATTTCTTCCATGAAACACCAATTAAAAATTATATAATGCAAGTCTATGGGAAAGTAAGACTTGACTTAGGGACAATTCAACTTAGGGACACTCTAGATGCACCAATTATGTCCGCATCTGGGGATCTAACTGTAATTAAAATTCAAATGTAGTGGTAATTCTTCTTGGAAAAAGACAGAACAAAAGAGTTCAACCATATCAGAGTGGAACTTTTTTTTTGGTGGGGGGGGGGGGGGGGGTTTCAGTTCATTGGAAATTGGATCTTTGGGTTGAGAATTTACTGGAACAACGCAACTTGTGGTCTTGAGGTCGGAAGGTTCTTGAAACTTTTTAATGGGTTCGTTAATTTACCTTTTCTATTCGCCAGAGTATTTAGGAAGAAACCAATGTGGAAATCAGCCATCGAAAAAAGAAATATATCCTCAGTTTGAGGATGAAACGCCTCAAGAACACGTATTCAAACTACAGTACTGCACATTATGTTGAAAAGTAGTACGAAATAGTTGTACAACTGATATTTTGAAAGATATTCTACATAGAAGCATGGAAATACCATGCGTATGCCAATATATTTTTTCAGAATGTTCTGGAAACCCGGTATCATT